TTTTTTTTTTTTTTTTTTAAGTTTCCCCACATGGTTTCATTCCTTTGTTTTGCTGATTTGTTTCTGAACTCCAGAATAAAAACTGTAAACTGTCAGTGGCCTTGCAGAAGAACAGATGAGTGAACTAAGAGAAAACCGAACGAAAGCTAACAAACCCCGAAAAATAAAATAAAAATAAAAAGGTAGGCACCTCTGAATGAGCCCTAGAAGCCAAGGCTCGGTCTGATGTCATGTCCTTCACCCTCCGTTGCTCAGATTTGGGAGAGCTGAAGTCCTTCTACCCCAATCTATGGCCACAGGTCTGCAAAATACTTTTTTTTTGCTGCATTTTTTTTATACATATATGATTTTTTTTCCGATTTTTCTTAAGTTTATAGTCTGAAAAATGGTGCAATACTCAATTATGATCCATACTTTCTTGGATTATTCCACAATGAAAGCCACTAAGGTAGATAAACATTACATTTTCTTTTTAAAAACACACTTATTTTTAGTCCTTGAGTAAACATTTACACATGAACTGTCCCCCCAGATACCTCTTCCCCCCTCCCCTCAGTACTTGTATCATGTTGTTCATATAGCTGGATGAGGGGTGAGGCTGACACTCAGTGCAACGCTAGAGGCTAGTAACAATTAACATCAGAATATAGTATTTGACAAGCAAAAAGAAAACAACAACAACAAAAATGATACTGAACTGAAGAGAAACGTGAGGCAGAGATCCCTCCGCTGTAATCACGAGCTCTCACGCATCGTTTCACCTCGCAGACATTCATTCACAACGTACAGTACAAGCGGCCTTGTGCAAACACTCAAATACGACTGATGTAAATTTGCCTTTTAAAAAAAAAAAAATTTTTAAAACCGATCTTTGTTTTTTTTTTCACTCTGAACTGATGCTTAAAAATAACAAAAAAACTCCAAAGTGAATGAATGAGACAAAAAAAAGAAAAACACTACAAAAAAAAGTGTTCACATTACATTATTGGCGCTTCTTTTGATTCAAGTATTTGTTTTCATTATTTTGTATTACTCTGATATGTTTATGATCTTGTCTTCTGGGAAACATTGATGTTGGATACAGAGGGTAAGGAACTGATGCCAGGGCAGAGGGCGGGGAGGTAAGGGTGTGGGTGGGTGGGGCGTTAGGCTTAAGTGGAAAACAGAAATCTAGCCATAGACACACATACACCCACAAATGTACGTTTGGTTGTATCCTGTGTATGAGCTAGCATGTGCATATTCAACCCAGACCTTTGTTTTTAGAGATTTGCTAATCCAGCTCTTTTTGCCCCCAGACCCTCGACTGATCCACGACTGAGAAGTAGATTTTACTCGAGCTCCAGTTGCCTTTGAGTCCGTGTGACTTAAAATAACAATAATAAATCGTAAAAAAATCAGAGGGGGGAGGGGAGGATGTGATTTCCAACCCTAGACAGGTAGATAAGAGTGCAGACGAAGGCGTGGGAGAGGGTGGGGCTTCTCAGTGCTGGTGAAATCCCAGGGCACGTCTGAGACTCGGTCCTGGTCACCCATCCCTCCCACTTGGTTCAACTTCCCCCTCCTCCCGTTGATTCAAGTCCAGTGTGGAGCAAAATGCAGGTTTTTCAGGAACAATCGCACAAAAACAGACAGCACAGGCAATAGTGATTGTTTCGTTGAATGATGCGAGTCTAAAGTGACTCTGGAAGAGGGTCAAAAACCACCCCGCAAAGAGTTTTAAGACTTGGTACCGAACTTGAGGTGCGTCTCTTGTTTCTGCTGATACGTCAGATCCCCGCTTGGACCCCCAAAGTCAAATGTGCAGACATGACCTGTTTTCTATATATATTCATATATATGCGCGTATACTGGCTGGCACAACCTTCAGGTTTGGAGGTCCAGAGTGAACCTCCAGGATACAGCTTCTCCCAGGCGTGGCTCGGAGAAACGAGCCCAGAGAGGGTGAGAAGGCGGCAGCTTGCAGAGAAACAGAAATCAGGCGTCTCGGCCTCAGAGTGCACAGCTGAAACAGACTGTGGTTTTTTTTGTAGTTTCTAGTTTTTGCAAAAACCTTGATGATAAAGGAAAAAAGAGAAAGATAATGTTTTTGGTTTTTAAAGAGATGTACCCGATGTGACCCATAAACAGTGCACAGACACATACAGGGACGCTCCCTCCTCCTCTTCCTCCTCCTACTGGTGAGTGACCAGCCCCACTCATCTGGCCTTAAGCCTCCCACAGCTCCCACAGCGATAACATACACTCATTGTTGCAAAGGATAAATCAGGATGTGGCCAAAAGTGGAAATAGACTTTTAGAAATCTGTTGGCACAAAAACTCAACTTGGTGCCTCCAGCAGGTCATTTAGTGTCATCTAACAGCTTTGTCCACTACACGCCCCGCCCCCATCCTTTATTTTTTTCTATTCTGAAGAGAGGCTCCATCAGTGTCCCCTACATTTGAATCCAGGTGAGGTTTCAAGAGAAGCTGCCCGGTAATAAAGGTTGAAAGGGTTAAGTGGAAAATTGGCGGATGTAGGGGATGGCTGTGAGCGAACACCTCCTTGTCTTTGCATAGAAATGGAAGGCTGTCATCAAGTTGAGGTGGTTCTAAGTGATAACTGGGTGCTCCCAGAGTTAAAGCACCAGCGTGAGCGAGGCCCATCAACACTAAAAACGATGGGTGTGTTACAACACAGCGCAGTGGACGCTCGGTCACCCCAGGATGGACAGAAGAAGTTGGCTTGTCATCCTGGAGAACCTTAAACTACACCCCCTCCCCCCTCCTTTTCATCCTGATTTGACTCTTCAATTCTGAACCCCCTCCCTCCCTCCCTCCCTCAGTGATTCACCCGGCTGAGGCGTACCTCTAAACTACTCGCTGGTTCTGCCTTGGAGGCAGCGGCGGTGGGAGGGACAGGAAAGAAGATGAACACTGCATAAAAACCATGAAATCATCAAATATAACAATCGTTCATGATAACAGCAACAATATCAGCAAACTTCTCACAACAAAACAAAATTAAAATGCACACCAGCAAAAAAAAGAAGGGGAAGATACATTAAAACAAAACATCAGTCGAGTCCGTCTCCGGATAAAGTGATCCTTGCAGGAGAGAGACGGGAGGAGAGAGTGGAAGTGGAGGTTGCTGACAGACTCTGGTGTAGCAGTAGTAGTAGTGAGTAGTAGATTCAATACAAGGTGGCGGGCCACTTCTGAAGGAGCTGCTCTTGGGAGGAAAAGGAGAAGGAAGAGGAGGGAAGCTAGTCTGTAAGGGTCCGCAGGGAGGCAGCGAGCGAGCGTGGGAGATGGAGGGAGGGGGCGAGGGCTGCTGCAGCACTGCACTCTGCAGCAGGCAGGCACTCAGTGGCCACACTATCACACAGGTTGGCAGGACCTCCAACAACAAAAACAACCCAAAAGCGGGGGGTAGGGGTGGGGTGGCGATCCTCCCTGCTGAACCCAGTAGAACATGAACACGTAGAGTGTTTCCAGACACCAAGGATAAAGATTTCAAAAGTTGCAATGTAACAGTGATATCTACTTTGATAGCAGGGGGGTGGAGTGCTCTGAGGTCTTTTCCTGCCACCACCCATCATCGCTTGACTTAGTTCTTCTTTGTGTTTCCCTTCACTTTGCTACTGTTTGACATCCTTTCTGGTCCCGCTGACTCGAGGGAAGAAGGACTCCAAAAAAAATAAAAGGAGGAAAAAAAATTGGGGAAAAAAATTAATTCACATCCACGTCAAGTTCAAAAATAAGTATACAGAGAAGCCACTAAGCAGATTGCTTTTTTTTGTCTTTTCAATTTTTATTTGCCAGTGTTGCTTCTCCTTTCTTCTGTTTGTTGGCATTGAGGGTATGAGGAGTAGCCGTGCTCTTGCTATGTGCTGTGATAAGACCACCAACTCACACAAATCGTTGATTCAGACATTTCTTGAAATGCAAATGTGGGTAAAATGGAGGGAAGGGGAGTCATCTGGTCTTCTTGTTTTGGTTTGACGCCATCGCCCCATCATGCACGCACGCACGCACACACACACACACAGACACACACACACAGACACACGCACGCACACCTGCCCGTCCTTCTCCCCAAAAATCAGGTCACAAGCATAAGCGTGGAGAGTCGGGTGGTGTGTGCGTCCTTGTGTTTTAGACAGAAGGCCAGCGTGCTACTCTCCTGACACCCTGCAGGGGGAGACAAAGGGAAGCTGTAGTGGCAGGGTTTTTTTTATTTGTTTGTTTTTTGTTTTGCAATGAGGAGAGATGAGGGCCGGTACAGGCGGGTGGATGGGTGGGTGGTGAAGTTGGCGGGCCGACAGATAAAGTGTTTGCAGTTTATTCGTTACAGTCTCCTCTATTAATCCCGCGAGTAGGGGTGCTTGGACGGTGAGAGTCTGTGGCTATAATATTGCACGTCGCTTGAAATGGTTGCTTTGCAGGCGGAGTGGGCGCGCACGGTAGAGGGGGCGAGGCAGAGGGAGGGAACGACTTAAGTCTTTTTTTCTCCTCCTCCACAGCATCAGTGAGTGGGTCTGAGAGACTGAGACCAAACTGCGAGGTGTCTCCCCGCAAGTGAGTTGAGGTGCATCGAAGTGTTTCGTCTTTACAGTTCCATAGTAATAGCAGTGGTTCATTGTTGTCGCCCATCTTAACTGTACATGCGACGACCCCACCCACCCCGTCCCTCGACACCACCACACATAAGATTGACAGACACATTTTGAATAATATCATTTCTTAGCTTTGTTTGCAATGGTTCAAGAAGAGAAATTAAAAATAAAACTACAAAAATAAATGGCTTGAACAAGGCGAACAGAGTTGCATCATTCCCTTTGAGCGCTGTGAGGGGAACTCAATCTGCTTTTAAACAAAAAAAAACAAAACAACAACAATGGACTGAAGTCGCGAGCTGTGGTTGCTTAAGCGGTTGTTAAGCCGCAGCAGCATGTACTCTCCACTCAGGTTTCACTGGCTCAGAAATAAGGGTGTGCAGGTGTCCGTATGCTTCTTCACCAAGTACAGAGTGAGTGAGGATAGCAGGGCAGGAAATAGTTTAAGGCTAATTATTAGTGCTGAGAGAAACAAATGTCGAGTCTGGACCAGCTGAAAGTTCAACAACCACTCTGATTGAAGGTTTTTTTTTTTAACTTTGGGAATGACGCCTTTTTTTCCATGGATCTCTGAGGTGCAGTATGATTGCCTCAAAAAGGCAGTGAGGGATTAGTTTAAAGATGGCAGCTCGTCACTGTGTCAGTTTGACTAAAAGTACGTCTCGCGCGGCAAAGTTCTCAAAAGTTTCTGAAAAAATAAAATAAAATAAAGTTCTCGTTCCTGTGAAGTAAAAGCTGAACACTGTGATCAAAATATCCGTTATTGGGATTCACAACAGAACTGCAACTAAAAATGTCAGTAAAAACTCAGGAGGAGACGAGGCTGACGAGGGCGAGCAGCAAGGTGTTTCCTCGTCCTCCTCCGTCTCTCCTTTCCACCTTTACATCCACGCTGATTATCTCCACATTGATTTGCAAGGTTTTTGCTCCTGTTTGTTTTTGTAAGCCTAGACTCTTCTATCCTACATGGACTCCCCGCTCAGCAGGTCCCCAGGCAGCAGTGTATTGATTGGGGTGGGGCTCCCCATGACCCGTCCCTCCTCTCCACTCGGGGGTCCCCACAGGCTGGAATACTGCTGAACACCACCCCACAGCAGCTCTCCGCCTGTTTTTGTTCCGCCTGCTCCCAGGCCGCCGCTGCTACTGTTGCTGCCGGCGCCGTTGTTGTTGTTGTTCCAGTGGGGCGAGTGCCCGATGGGGTGAGACGCTCCAGACCCGGTCCCGCCCATCCTTGTCTGATTGGTGCCTGGAGTGGCCTGCCAGCTGGTTGTTCCTCCGAGTGACTGGCCCTGTGCAAAGAAGCGGTTCACTTCCTCTTCCCCGGCAAACTCGGCCAGGATGGTGGTGTTCCCGAGCACGCACCTGCGTGGAGATGGAAGCAAAAACACATATGATTCATGGTTAAATGCCCTAAAATCAACTGAGTGAAACACTTTGAACCAATGCGCTGATGCACGTACATGTGCAGGGACTTTTGCGCCTTGGCAGCTTCGTCCTTGGAGCTGTAGCGCACTACAGCGTTTCCCTGTGTCAGGTTGAGGTGGAATGTGATGAGGGGGCCGTGTTGCATGCACAGTGTTCGCAGAGTCGAACCATCAATCTGAAAAAGAAAAAACAGCTGCCAATGGTGAGCCAGCTCATTTAATTTTAGCTACAAATGGGCGTATTTTCAAAAACTGTGGAGAAGCAAGCCTCTTACCTGCGGAGTGAGGTTCCTCAGCACGAGCCAGCTACTTGTTCTGGTGGAGCTGTCTGTACTCCATGTGGTACCTGCTGTGCACGAGAAAGAGAGAGCAGTGAAAGGAAGAAATCTGTTGGCATGTGGTTCATACTTCCCAAGCTTGTGTGAAACCAGAATCAAGTCGGTTAAGCTCAATGGGTCGTGTCAACTTCACCCACGAAAAAAGAAAAGCTGACCAGAGTCAGTTGATTTCAACGTTCAGCCACAACAAGATCTTCTCGAGGCGTTATTCCTGCCTGTGCTCTACCTGTAAAACAGCCCTGCGGTCGTAGGCCACATCAAAGTGCCTCCTCCTATAAGAGTATACTATAATACTGACAACCACGCTCACACATAGTACTTTAAATACACTAACCTCTGCACGGCTCACAGAATGTGAACTTTTCATCTTTGCTATACGGTTTCATTTCTAATTATTTCACTGTTTTCATTTTTTAAATGTCCAGTATTTTCACATGAATGCTGTTTTCTTCCAAATCACCTATGGAAACAATTCCTATTAGAAGTGCATTGTCTTCCAAAAGTTTGAAGCTCTGTAGGTTTGTTATTTTAACAGTTATATCTGTCTTTTGGATTAATGACATGACAAAATTCATGTCAAGCATTTGAAGAGGAACATGACAAACACTGGAGACACAATAACCTCTTTGTAACACTACCTGTGGTGTAAGAGGTGCTCCAGCCTTGTCCCAGACCCAGAGAGCTGCCCCCCCAGGTGGAGGAAGGCTTTGTGTTGGTGAGGCCAGGCGGGGGGCGGGAAGGTGCTGTGGTGCTGCTCCGAGGGCCCTGTGGGACCTTCCACAGCTCATGGGACAGAGAGGCCTGGCTGTGAGAAATGGGGCCTGGAGACCAAGTGGATTTCATCTCTGACAGTTTACCTACAAGAAAAAGAGGATGGCAAAGGTTGGTCTGCAGAATCATTCGTCCGAAAGACAACCGCTCCCGCAGGAAGGAGTCCTGCAGGATGAAATTGCTGAAAAGTTCTGAGAAACTGTCCAAAGGTGAATATGAATAAGCAAGTAAAGACTGCATTACAAAGTACAGCCTTCGCTGGATTTGACTCCAAATTAATCTCATCTTGTGTCATGGTACAAATCTATCTTCTGTTTCTGTGAAGCACACACTTTACATATAAACCAAAAATAACTGAACTTGGTGGCTTTCATGCACATTTGTGTGTGGCGCAGGTGGCACAAAACCCCACAGTGTGTTAGCGTATGCATGAGATGTGTTTGAGAGACACACAAAAAAGGAAAATTACTTCATTCAAACAGACCAGTTAAGAGTCGCTATAAAAACGGGAAAAACGACAAGCTGTACTCTCCATGCCGCACACAGAGGAGGAAGGAGATACACTAACATCGCAGGGAGGGGATTATGCACTGCATGATACACAAAACTGACAGGGATAGAGCTCAAATGAAGGTCACGTTTAATCAGGAGCAGTGACTCGTATGGAAAAGAAGACACGTCTCTCCAGTGAATGGCTGAAGCTCTGGGTGTTAAAGTAACAGGAAGGAGAGTAAAATGCTGACTTGCAGTGAAATTAGCCACTGCAGTGTGGCGAGGGGGTGGGTGGGTGGTTGTGGATAAACCATGTACCTGCATCCTCCATCTCCGGGGACGAAAGACTGAACGAGCTAGTGTAGCCACTGACTGGCCAATCAGTGGAGGGAGGCAGAGCCTCGTTCTGAGATGAGGTGGGAGAGGAGCCTAAGGCGACGCCAGCAACACAAACAAATAGATACAAAACAAATAAGGAAAACGCAGCAGAGAGAAAATGGCATAAAGAAAAACACACAACAAATGATGACAGTAAGGTTCTTTAAGAAGAGAAGAATATAGAATAGGACAATGATTACAGCAGCAGTTAAAAAAGTAGGAAAATGAAGAACGAAAGAAAAAGAAGCAGGCTCTCAGGTGGCAGAAATACACCGGATCACGGCTAATTCATACACCTTTTTTTTTTTTAAAATCATCTCCAATTCATCTCTTTACTTATTTGACTTTAAACATCAGAACCAAAACACTCAAACTGAGCATCTTGATTTGGAGGCGACGTGGTCCGGCCTTCACTCACTTCTCCTGTTCTCACCTCCGCTCCTGTCCCGGAGCAGGTAGCGGTTGACATCTTGGATATTTGTGTTGATGGTGGGTCCGCTGGGGACGCTGCCGGGGGTCACGTTGGGGTCAGTTTCAGGGTCGATATTCTGGAGGCCCTTCCACGGTACACCAGGACAAAACTCTGAAAGTAAAAGGAACATGTGCGCATGATTTTCTTACTTACAGGACACCAAAGAAACTTATAACAGACATGTTTCACAGGTAAAGGTTTTTCTATTATGCTCATTTTCTGCACATGAATTCAAATGCCTGTACTGAAGATATGACAAAGCAGTTTTTGGCAGATAACATAACAAACTTAAAGCTGACAAACTGAGAACATGAGCGCTGCTCACCTGGTGGCCAGTTGATATTGGTCCCATTGGCCATTTTGTCACTGCTGCCTTTGCTTTGTCCCCAGCTGTCTGGAGGCACCAGAGGGCTGGAAGGAGACTCTGAGCTGGATATCAGGCTGTAGGGGCTGTAAGATTCATCCAGCTGAGTGGGCTTTCCAGGAGGGCCCAGGTTGGCACCTAAGAAAAGCACAATGAGACAAGGTTTTACATCTAAAACCCAAATACATTAACAGTTTTTAAATAACTGGCAGAAACTGCTGAAACAGTATTTTCAACACGCTCAAATACAAAGGGATTTTCAAGCTGGCGTTGGGTCTCGTAAACATATTGTTTGATTATATCATGCTGGATATACAACTTCTAGTCCACATTTCAGATCTGCATTTTACACATTGAACACTCGTCTCCAGTGTCAAAAGGCTATTAGGTGAAATAATCATGACAGCGAGCCCCGTTTTCTTTCTCACCATGCTTGCCCAGGTTGGGCTCCAATGGAGAAGAGTTTCCAGAGAGGCTTTCGATGGAGTTTGGGTGTGTCCACTGTGACAGGCGCGATTGGGGTTGGGGGGGTTCCTTCATTGACAGACTTCCCACCTCCATGCAGTTTACATTCAGTCCAGCTGAGGACATAGGGAGATGTTACTTCACAATCCTGCAAGGACTACTTTTCCACATTCAAAGAGCAATGCTGATACTACTCACAGAGAGAGTAGGGGCTGTAGGTGTTAGGAGATGACTGCGGCTCTTTGGTCTGCAGGTCAGGGAGGCCTGGAGCCTGGGGATGACCTGGAAATGAATCCAGGGAGGATTTGGCTCCACCAGGGTGCAGGCCTGAGTGGGAAGGGGGCGGTTGCTGTTGCTGCTGCTTCATCAGCAGGGCCTGGGCCAGCTGACGCTGGTGCTGTTGGATCTGCTGCTGCATGTTATTGATTGTACGTGCAACCTAGGAAAAAAAATAAACATGATGGATATTCAATGCGCAGGTTTCTACAGGTTTTGTTTTTACAGATCCAGTAAGAGAATTGAAAAGTGAACCTACTTGCTGCTCTTGTTGCCGAATGGGGCCAGAAACATTGCGCTGCGCCTGCAACATCTGCTGCTGAATTTGTAAACGCTGGTACGCCTGTGCAGGCATAAGCAGGATTAAAAGTTTCTCAATGCCACGTACGATAAATGTAGTTTAAACAATATGACCACATGTCCTTTTTAGTTACGTATGAGGTTAAAGATGAATTTAAATAGCTCAGATGTATCCAACAAAACTGAAAGCAGATAAAACTAAAGGACACTCACCAGTTGCAGCTGGTAAAGTTGATTTAGAAGGGTCATATGTTGAGGGTTTATTGGTGAGGTTAAAAGTGCAGGATTCAGACCAATGTTTTTTGCTGCAAACTGTAAGAGCTGTGCTTGAACCTGTGGAAGAAAAAGATAAGTAGGCAACGACTTAACAAAATGAAGACGTAAAACTGAGAATCTGCCTTATGTATAATCTGCACCTTTCTCGTGTTAGACTCTGAGACATTTGAACTGAAATAATAAATGTAAGAATCTCACATGGCTGGTTTTAAAGGTTATGGTACAAGTCTGAAGTATTCACCACTGTATACATACAAACTCGTTCTCTCCTAATATTTAGACAGTATATTTAGACAGGAAGTGTTAAATAAGTTCATATGTTTGTGTGTATGAGTGTACCTGAGGGGAGAGAAACTGAGGCACTTGAGCACGTAGACTAGGCTGAGAGGAGCTGAGAGGCGGCACTGGTGGCTGAGGAGGCTGCTGCGGCTGCGGCATGGCCCGGACTTGTGCTGCTCCACCACCGCCAAACATTCCACTCTGCACCTGCCGAAAAGAGGACATGTCGATCATTTTCTTTAGCATTTACTCTACTGAAGTGGCCTTGTTTTAATGGAGACGATCTACATTTGTGGCTTTTAAGCATCATAAGACCAGCTCAGGTATGATGTAAAACAACGTGCAGAAATCCCAGGAAACATTTAGACACTCTGCTGTCATCAGCTGGGAATTTAATACTGTACATGCACAGCGTATTTAAATATGGATTAACAATGGAGTGACTCACCTTATCCATGAAGGGCAGGCGGGGATCTGCTGAGGGGTCTTTGGAAAGAAGCGGAGGCCGAGGGCAGCTCATGGGCTTGTTGATGAGCCCGTTGTTGTAGTCGTGGCCAGCTATCCCCATCCCACGCTTGTCAAGCTCCGTCTTCTTTTCCAGCAGGGCACTCATGGCCTGATCCAGGTTCATGTTGTTGCTCTTCAAAGCCTCCTCTGCTGGATCCCTCTGAAAACAGAAAAAAAGATGAATCCCAAAATGCTCGGATCAAAATTATACTGTTATAAGCATTTCATGATTAGCTTTATTATTATTAATTACTAGTCTTTTAATCAGAAGTTTATAAAATGGCTATTGAATGTTTTTTTTTATGTATTTATATTTAAAGAAAAGACTAAGCACTCACAGGGAAGCCCATGTCAGTCAGCTGCTTGATGAGACGATTCATGATCCAGACCTCATCCTGCTTCCCTGGGATCTTCCCCTGTGGGAGATGTGATCAAAAATGATTGGCATGTCAATGCAATTAACTGATTTCTTATGATGTCAAATAAAAGCATAAGGAAGTGTTCTTTATCCAAGCATTTGTGCTGCACACCTTTGGTGGGGCCTTTTTATTTGCATTGCTCCAAGAGTTACAGGAAGAGTTGCTCTCCTGGGAGGCAGTGCTATTCCACATGTCTACCTCCTCTGCATCCCACTGACCACCTGACAGGCTCAGGTCTTCACTTCCACCTCCCCATCCATCTTGCATAGGTTTGGGAGCTGGAAACAACCACACAAAAACACATAACAACAAATAATAAGGGCAAAACAGCTACCTTATGTGGCATATTTGTGATGTTTGTTATTATTTAAAATAACATGCTCAAAGTACTACAATATCTCACATATCAACAGGATGGATACTGAAACCCAGTATTAGAACAATGACTGGACCAAAGTATTAAAAAAAAAAACCTTGATTAAAGCAGAGTTCTGTTCTGTTTTTAATACCCATTATCTCTCTTTTAGAGCCTCTGAGTGTGAGGGCAGCTGTCTCTTACAACCACAGCTGCACTGTGCATTAAATACACAAACAGACTTGTTCATACACCCTCGAAAGTGTGGTTTCATTTCTGAAGAGTAAATGATCACAACACTCAAAGCCACACTTTTTTTTTTAAATATAAGTATGCCAAGACGGAAACATGAGCAATATGTCAAAACAATTATCAAAAGAGTAATTTTCCTTAGTTAAATTAACATAGTTGAATCACTAAAAATAACCATTAGTCAGCTGAATGGGGCTTTTTGGTGGTTAAAAAAAAATGTTAACATTAAGAATGTGAATGTAAGTTATGTGTTACCATGAGCACAAAGCTACTATTCTATTGTTATTCTTATTGTCTTTATAAATAATATAATAATTATTAAAATAAGCAGTATGAACAAGAGCAACAGGTAAATTATGACCATAATGTATGTTGTCTTCTAAATCTGGAATAAAATATCAGAAGATTTAATTATTTGGTTTATAACCTACTATTCCCTGGTCCAAGTTAATCTCAACTATATGGGTAGGATGTTTGAACCCTGCTTGACAACCTGGTTTAAAAGCACTGGGGATGGTTGGGTAATATGCACGAGTCTCTTAAGCTGGTAATGTTTATAATGCATAATTAAAAACTTGTTTGTACGATGTTTTACATCTAGTAAATTTGAAGGTTTTATATTTCACATAGAGACTGCGTCAAAAACATAATATAGCCACTAGGGGTCAGTGTAGATTTATGTGCAAAACCCAAGTACTCCTGCTTCCCTTGTGCCATATTGATGTCCTTGACTTGACTCACCGGGAGAGAATTTTTAAACTTCTGTTTTTAAGCAGTATAGCAACACATACAGTATGATTGTATCCCAAAGCTATCCACACTTGGATGAGACTGAGCCATTTACCAGGTTTACAAGATGCAGGTGTCATTGTCGGGTTGCCCCTGCCATAGCTCTCCGGATTGTTTTCCCCCCAGCCCCCACAGTTCCCGCTGGGTTTGCCCCAGGCAGACGTCCCATTATCCACACTGACTGGGGAAGATGCAGGTTCCCCCCAGGAGCTCTCCGATTTTGTGTGGGAGCTGGATATCTCTCCCCAACCTGGAGGACACACAAACACAATCAGTACTACTCAGAAACCAATCAGATCATGCGGCGTTTTTTCAATATTGTGACCACACAGTGGTCAAACTAAACTACAAAGAGTTTGGTGTTACGATATGCCATTTGTTCATTACACTGACTTCTGTTTGCAAAATTGTGTGTTTAAATGACAGTTAAGAGACCAAATCATTATTTCTTGCCCTTCATACAGAGCAACAATAAGGGCTCTTTGTGCCATACAGCACGGCCTGGTTTACTTTGCTAGCTAAGTTTAAATGTGCATGGTAGATGCCTAAGACACAGAAAATGGGATGGAAATCTAACAGTGATGTATGATTGTGTCTTGACCATATTCAATGTCCATATATACATAGAAAAACCAAACATTTTAGTATTTGATCCCTAATAACCTGAGGCTTAAATACAACCGAGTCTGGTTAACACCACTAAACTGATTTAGCCTTCTGCTTTGAAGTGTGAAATGCCAGCCATGCAGAGAGGCAGAAACCTGGGTTTGGCTTAGCAGGAAGGTTGATGGAGGGAGGAGATGCCCATTTAAGATTTGGCATGGTCCCGTCCCTTTTGGCAAGAAAGACAGAGTGCTGTCTCTAGGCCTGCAGCAGCGCCAGGCTCAGTTTAGCTCTCTCCCCAGGGAAAGGTCAAGTCCCAAAGGCTGCTTCAAAATTATAGTTAACATTCAACCCTCTTGTGTCACTGGGTAAGAGGTGCACTGATCTAAACAAGATATAATCTGATCTGAAGAGTTTGTTTCTATCCATCGTAAGTCACTAAAACTCTATATTAAACAGCCAGTGAACAGCCTGCTGTCAGGATTGATCCAAAGGGTTCAACATGAAGAGTCAAATGAGGACCAGCAGGAGGCTTCGCCCAGTGCACAGTGTCTTGCTCCTCCTCCTCCTCCCTTCAACTACTGACAGATGGTGGCTCCTATATAATCACACACTTCCTATCTATCTCAAACAGTTTGTGGTGAATCAATATTTTCACGAGGCCCTTTGTAAACAGCATTCTTGTGTTTCCTCTGCCATGTGAGGTTGCCAGGGTTGCCCCCATAGTCGAGCCGAGAGTTGTGAAATGTGAGGGCGTCACTGAGGGACAGGCCTGACACTACCTACCTGATTTAGATAGTTGATTAGAGGCAAATCCAAAGAGAGTAAACTAGGTTAAGATATTACCTTTAAGTGGATCAACAGCTTGGAGCTTAGTAGCGGACAAAGCCAACCACCAAACAAGCTTTTTAGCACCTTTTGCTTTGAACAGTGAACAAGGATGAAGAAACTAGGAAACCCAGGGAGGCATTATAATTTACCATTAGCTACATTAAACTCGTTAAAATCAAAATTTGAATGCTGACAGTGTATATTAACTATACATTGTTAGCATTCATAAACAGGGAAATCTGAGCAAGTCATGTTACAGTCTGCATAATATATAGTTTATATCACCTTACCTTGAGCCATCAGGGGACCTCTGTTGTGAGATGCTCCAGGCTGGTGTTGCACAGTAGGATCCAAAGGCCCGCTGGTGGGGCCTGAGTTCTGGCTGTTTTGGCTGTGGTTCTGTAAAGGTGCAGGTGGCCCGTGGTAAGGGTGATTGAGAGGGTGGGGATGGTTGTTGTTGGTGCTGGGGGGATTATTGCCTCCAGTAGTAACTTTAGCTTGGGACGATCCTGAATTGTTCCTGTCCCACAGATTGACTGCCTTGTTGTAGGTACCGGGATCGCCCCAAGCAGAGGTCCCGTCATCGATCTCCATCTTGCGTCGGATGGAAGGAGGGGAGGGCTCTTCCCAGCCTGTAGGCTCAGTTGTTGAGGATTCCTGCTTATTTCCACCCCTACCTGGACCTTGTTTCACTGAGCCCGATCCCCCCCAGGACCCCATGCTCCCTCCTCCATTGTTACCACTAAGCCCATCTTGAGGCTTGCCCCCCCAGCCTTGAGAAGGACCACTGGGTCGCTGAGGAAGTGACTCTCCCCAGCCACCATTACCTCCAGGTCCTTGAGAAGACATTCCCCAGCCTCGTGGTTCTCCTTCCCAAGCATTAGTGGGACTCTTTTTACTCTCTTCTGAGTCCCCCCACTCTGCTGTGTTATTGCTCACTCCACTGCTAGCCCAAGTGTGAGACGCTTTGGGCTGTTCTCCCCAGTTCTGGGATCCTGACTTGATGTGAGAATCTTCCCACCCACTTGGCTTCTCTCCCCAGGACTGACCACCATTTTTGGGTATACTGGTGCTTGGACCTCCTGGTGGAGGGTTTCCCCAACCACCAGGGCCACCTGGGGGCTTGATGTTGCTGGGTGGCTCTCCCCAACCAGAGCTTGGCTGGTTGGTAGCTGCTATGTTACCACCCCAACCAGAAGTGCCCTGAGAACCAGGCGCATCATTTTTGCTCCCAGAGTCAGTCATCTGGCTAGGGCCTGTGTTAGTGTTGGAGGGCCCCTGGGCATCGACTGGAGTGGTTGAGCCAGAGCCCCATGATCCAGTGCCTACATCACTCTTATGTTTGGTATCGTCCATGTCCCAGGAAGTGTGCTGGCGAACGGGAGTCTGTCCCCAGCCACTGTTGCACAGCACCCTGGGGTCCAGATCCTGGGCAGGCATCAAAGGAGCTGATTTTTCTCTGGATGACCGGTCTTTTTGCTGGGGATGGCCTTCCATGCTGTCACTGCTTCCTTCACTAGCCGCAGCTGTGCTTACAGCCCTGCTCCATGAGATGGACTGAGAGTCCTGTGCGGGAGAGTTGGGTGTATCCCATCCTCCCTGGGTCTCTTCAGGGTGTTCACCCCAGCCTCCAGAGTTCCCTGTTCCATCTCCTTCATGGCCCCAGCCAGGTGCCTCCTTAGATGAACTTGCCTTTGAGTTGCCACTGTTACCCCATACTGAATTACCATCTTCACCATTGACCTGTGAGCCTCCTGGCGGTGGCTGGGTCATGGAACCCAAGCCTACAGGTGCACTTCCCCAGCCAGGCAAACTGCGGATGGGGCTGGGGGGTTCCTGCTTATTAGTGTGATTTGGTCCATCAGTTTTAAGGTTCTGAGGTTCTGAACTGAAAGACACATTCGTGGACGGGGAGGGGTGTGGCTCTGCATCAGAAGCCATCATGGTAATCCAGGCATTGCCAATCCCCGAGGAGTTGCTGTTAGTGTTGGCTCCGGTACAGGTGCTGGTCTGGGCTGGTGGGGGGCCAGGTGGATTGCAGAGGTTGGGTGTAGAGTGAGGAGGTGAAATGGTGTTGGCTCCCCCTGAGCTGCCTCCCCCTGTGCCACTTCCGTCATGCCCCAACATGGGCCAGGCAGACGGGTTGGCATTAGGGTTTAGGTTCAAGTTAAAGTTGGTGCTGGAGGATGATGAAGGACCCCAGCTCCTAGTACTGCCTCCTCCTCCTCCTGGGCTGTCACTCTTCGTTTCACTCCCCATTGAGGACTGAGGGGGGCAATGGGAAGATACAGCCCCAGGGCCCCAGCTGCGACTGGCTGCAACCTGGCCAGAGAGCATGCTGGTTCCAGTATGATTGGCAGGGCTGGGCCCACTGTTGGCTTTGCTGCTGAGGTGGTTGGCAGGGAAGTGGCCTGTTTGGCTATTTGCTCCCGTGGCCATACTCACTGTACTACAACTACTGCTAGTACTACTGCTTCTGCTGCTGCTGGTCAGGTGACCAGAGTCAGTGTCCAAAGGGCATCCTCCTGGAGGGACCTGGCTCTGGCTGAGTGTAATAGAAGGCCAAGCCTCTGTGTCCTTCTGGTCGATAATTAGTTGATCCCAGCCACTGAGATTGGTTGAAGATGCAGCACTCGTAGCACTTCTGTTGGCTGGCAGGTGCCCCCAGAGGGGATTATCATACTGGGCTCCCTGGCCACTCTGTGGGGGCAGTTCTGTGTGAAAGAAAGGAAAATAGACACACACACAAAAAATCATGAGCCATAAGCAGGAGCAACAGGATGACAGCAGAGAGACTTAGTTGCATACGTCATCACACCCACATTTGCTTAGTAAGGTTGAAATACCATGGTAACATGCAATGTGTCTTCACCATGCTTTATAAATGAAAATACATACCACCCACATAAAAATAAATAAATGTAAAAAAAAAAAAAAAAAAAAGGGAAAAAAAAGGAAAAATTACTAATATGATATCAGAGGGGGGTTTAATTAGTAAATGAATAAAAATTATGTACTTTATTTGAATATTACACATTTCTAAAGGAACAAACACTTTAAAATATGTCATTTATCAAAATAAGGTGCAGTGCATTCAGTACGTTTAAAGAATTTGTAGTAAAACATGATATTATATTTTTCTTTCTCGTCTTTCCCTCAAATGTTCAATTAGTTTAGTGCAATTCTTAAAAAAATGGCGGTGATCACATTGCTTTTCTAATTGAAAATGATTGAAAAGTTATGAGTATTTAAAGAAAGGAACAACAGAAAGATTGGAAACGTGGTACAAAACTAGAATACTATCTCTGAACATTTTAAGCTAATTGGTAACATGATTAGATAAAAAGGTTTCCAGAGAGGCTGATGGGAAGAAGTTCACTGCACTTCATACAGACTGCAAGAGGAAGTATGTTATATTTTATCATAAAAAAACCTGCTCTACGTATAATAATAATAATAATCATTATTGTTATTATCATCATTGTGATTATTACTATGTATTGTAGGTCATAAAAAGATTCAGGCTCAGGAATACTTGTCAACATTATCACTGCATTCATGAATGCAAGTTAAAACTACGCTACCATTTAAAAAACAAAACTGCCTCATTCTATGGGCCTCAGGTAATTTAAGATTGACTGAGGAGAAGTGGAAAAATGTTCTGTGGTCTGACCAATCAAAATCTGCAAGTTCTGGGAGAAATAATGGAAGTGGAATGCTCCAGATGGAAGAGGACAGGGACATTCCAGCTTGCAATCAACACACAATTCAAAAGCCAGGAACCGTGATGCAGAGGTGCTTTAGTGGACATGGCAAGTTTCCACCTGTGCACCATTAATCCTTATAGATATATGTGCACAGGCTTTAGAGCAACATATGCTGCCATCTAGGGAATGTCTTTTTTAGTGAATGACTGACCCATATCAGCAAATCAATAACAAACCAAATTCTGCATGCATTTCAAATGCACTGAAATGTATTTATTTTTGTAATACCTTTAGTTAAATAACAGTCTTCATTTTTTGACAGCTGCCTTCACTCTTTATTTTACTCTGCATGTATACAGCTCAAGCATCAATAATAAAGTTTTCAGTTTCTGAGGTTATTTATAACAAACAAGGTTAAAAATAAATCAAATTAAAAACAGTTGCATGTAAAATATTTTTGCTGAAATAATTTAACACACACTGCAAACAGAAGTCATAACAGATAGATACTGCACCTTTCCAACTAGTGACACACAGATCTGATATGTGATATTCCTTTATTGTTGGGGCCTCTCTGTTTACTACAACAGTTGTCAGCACACAGAGCACAGGCTGAATTAATGCTGCGCTCATTTTACCTCTGAAGTTGAAGCTGGGAGTGACGCCACTGCTGTGGTAGCAGTAGTAAAAGCAAGAAATAGCAGGATTTATTTTGGTCTTTAGCAAGGTCGAACCATTCATCCATCGCCAGCAATAACCCACAATACCTTGGTCGTTTTTCTGTGTACAGCTTGCTTAGCGAGTCACAAATACACAACATTTATAGCACAGATTCCCAGTTTTACTACTGTTGACGTGCACTGCCACCATCTTGGATTATGAAGTCGGGGTTGGCGGGGCTTCTCCAACTTTGAGTGGAAAAATCCTACAACTGGAAGGCAGCATAACACAATACGAGGGAGCTATCAATTCAGCTGCACTGGCTCCCCATTAACTCCAGAGTTAATTTTAAATAAAACATGCTTTTGGGCAAGTTTTTGTTTTTTAATGTTCATTTTGTTGTGACATTTATATTCAAAGGTGCTAAATAAACAAAAATGCTTCCCCATCAGCATCTCGTGTTTGGTTTAACACCTGTTTTAAAGCCTTCGTTTCACTCATGGTAACACAAGTCAACTCAGTTATTTCAGATTTCCTGTTTCTTTTGAGCTCTACTCCAGCTGAGATACAAGTGTGTGACTCAACACATTCCTGTTGTGAGCAGGGCTATATTAGAAGCTAGCGTGATTGTAAAGGAAAACAGTAAACAGTAGTGATCCTCACACTCAACTTAAATAACCCTAGTGCAAATAATTATTATTATTTATTAAAAAAATTTAATTCATTTCTGTGTCCCAAGTTATTTCACTAATAAATACCAATTTAGTACATATATATATTCAACTCCAGCATCTTAATTTACAAAGTTCATAAAGCAACAATTAGGCTAAATGTTGTTATCTTACATTATTCTTTCCATCAGACTGTGGATTACAGCTCAACGCTGTCACAGGGCCTGTACTCAGTATTGGCAGTTACCCAAAGCCATTGTAATGGTGTAGTATAGGAACTGGAAAAAGCTGGATTGGAGCATCCTTATACCAAAAAGTCAAAAAAGGAATTCCATACTTGGGAACCATGTTGCAGAATGCAGTCAATGACAACATCTTTTACTTACGACCTCTACACCTCAGAAAACCTCCATCTACCCATACAACTGCATGCAAAAATGCTTCATCTTATTTCTCCGAGAGCGAGTAGAATGAATCAAGCAATCTGGCTGTGATTTCCAGCACTGAAACAATAAACTCCTCTACTCCAATCATCAACCTTGCGCCACCTCACTGGCTCATTTCTGCTACATCTCAAACTGAAGCCTCTGTTGTTTACATGCGCCCTCACATGTGTGCATAGTTTGTATGCAAATACGCCGACTGTCACAACAACAGGAGGGAAGTGATAGGATGTGTGCACCAAGATGTTTTCAAGCTTACTTTAATGCTTGCAACTACAGACAAGGGAGAGAGGGTGCAGAAGAGAGCAAGGGGGAGGAAAAAAAAAAAGAAAGAAAAAGAGGGCAACGTGTTTCTGACACACACAGCGCCGTCGTTCTGTAGCGTCACTCGACTGAGAAGTGCAGGACCGCCATTTTCTCAGTCCTGAACTAGAGCCAAAAAGGCTCTGATCTCCTGTCTGGATAACCAGTGCTCCTGCTTCAACAGCACACATGCCTTCCTCACAATAACACACACAGAACATCGTAACACGACACTGCATGCTCGACAGTGTACTGTCGCTTTAATATTTAAAAGTGCGCAAACGCAATCAGCCAAAACAACACAGGGATGGGAGGAAAAACAGAGAGCAAGAAGAAAGTAGAAGGGTGTGCAACACAGTAATGAAATACCTGTGGAGAGGTGCCTCCCGACCATCCTGTAAAGAGCTAGGTTGTGTGCAACGCAGCGACCATCCTTGTCTCAATATGTCTGCTCGGCTCGCCAAGCTTCTGAGGCTCATATCTGAAATGCTGCCAAGAAGTTGCACAGCTCTTGCACGGCATGAGACAACCCCCCTCCCCCTCCCCTCCTCCTCCACCACCTCCCTTCCTTCCTCACCCCTCTTGCTCAACCCCTCCCACTAACCCTGCTCTGACTGGGTCTTTCCTCTCCTATCTATTGCTTCTCTCCAGCTTTATTTATATCGCACTCTATTCCTATCCTGATGGAGGATATTCTCCCTCTCTGGAAGAGCACCGAGACGTGGCCGACTCGGCGGGGAGGGGGAGGGGATGAGAGTGAGAGAAAAAGAGGGGAGACTTTTATTATTCACTCACAAGCCATGATGTAAATCAAAACAAAAGCAGGGCTCTTCTCTCCCGCCCATGCCCTCACATCTTTCTACCTTTCAAAACTGTCACTAAACATTTAGCTCCATCTGCAATTAGTGCTGCCGCCCACGACGGAAAGCCTCTTGAATAGCGGCAGCAGGCGAAAGAGAGCGAGAGAAGCCCTTCAGAGCTGGAATGGCAATTTTCCTCACACATGAACAGACACAGGATAAGAATGCACAGGATGACAAATGTTGATTTTTGTCAAAATTTATGGCTGCAAGTCGGAAATGCAGTAATCAAAAACGGAGCTGTCACTTTGGGGAGATGGTTTCTGGACACATGAAATAAGCAAGCTTGAAGGGATCTGCTAATTTGTGTGTGATTTAGTCTGGTTCAAAACATGGTGCTGGAGTGACGCGCACAGAGACAACAGAGGAAGATACCCATGAGATAGAAGGCAGAGAGGGAAGAGGATAGGAAGAGCAGGGAGCTGCAGCTCCCTAGATCAAGGCTGCTATTGTTTACAAATGATCCCAGCACCCACACAACAAGACAATAAGTCAATGTTTAGTGGAGAACAGAGTCTCTTTATGGCTGAAGTTCAGCCCCCTGTGCCTCTCGGCTGTGAGGTCTTAATGCACGGTGAAGTCATGGCCACTCGCTCGCTTTGTGTGTTAACTTATACAAAGTACAGATGGCGCATCCAAGTAGAGGAAAAAACAAACAGCTTCCTGACAGCAACTCGGACACTTCGTTCTATATCTATTACTTTTTATCGTGTAGCAAACTGTAAAAGCAAAAGCTACAGTTTAAAAGAAAGCTAAAGCATTCGGATATCCAGTGGTGGAAAAATTTGAAATGTTCAAGTATTTAGTTTGTGATCCTTTAGCTTGGAAAGCTAGGTGGTCTGTGGGATTCAGGTCAAAAGCTGGTGGAGGACTGTTTGCTTTAAAAATTCTCTTTCAAAAAGCGGTTAACACACTTTGGGTCATTTTGCTAAATGCTCATTTTTCTTGATTGTAAAATGATGCGGTCTGATCTGGTACTGGACTGCCTGTGTGCCTTCTGTTCTCTGTCCTTCACTTTAACATTTGTACAACACACCCGACTAGAGGCGAGGGAAGCTCGAGTTTCCTTGGTGAAGTGGCCTTCTTTGTGCAAACAATGCTTTAACGTTTCCCTTTTCACCTTCCCAAGAAATGTACGGCATGCACAATTTGCTCAACTATGCCTTCTATTTTCTATAAAGTACTCCTATGAACTTGACGGATGTTTGGTAATAGAAATCTGAATACTTTCACGGCCAATGTATTCTCAGAGGGTGTACTTGTGGAGGAAATGGAGATGAGGGTAGAACAAGGGAGGGATCCAGAGGAATGAAAACATAAAAGAAAGAAGTCAGAAAATGAAGGACAAAGATGGATGTTGAGAGATAGGAGGAGGAAATAATCTAGGAGGGCTATGTGGGCCTCAGCTGTACTGATCCTAGCTTAATGAAGTCCCTGAGGGGCACAGAGACTGGATGGTACAGAGCTGACAATGCATGCTGCCAGCCAGATGAATGAACTCTCTGATAAACACACAAACATGCACCTCCCAGGAATCTGCTACCTCTGCCTATGATGATCTCAAACGCCACACTGCGTTTGATTTGATGCATTGTAATCAGTGCAAAACATTACAGCAGCGGCACCAAAATCAACGGTCACATCTGCAAGGTAAATGGGGTTCGGTTTATCAAACTGATTGATAGAATGGGTTTGATGCAGAAACATTGCAAAAACAATTGTTCTGCGTCATGCTATACTATTTTGAAGTCTCAGTACTGCAAAACAAGACAACTAGAAAAAAAATAGTCTTTGCCTACTTTGATATTTCCTGTTCTACTTCTGCACAAAGCAACAAAAATAACACAAGAGGGACGCAAAAATTCAGGAAATTTGTGATGTAGAAACTATTGGGAAGTTGAATTAACTAGTTTAATTTTTATTACAATGCAACCCACTTACTGACCTGAACAGGGGCAAGCTGTATCCAACATTTCATTACTGATATTATGGAGCATCTTTGCTCTACAAATCCTTTTAGGCACTTTTCAGCTCGGCTCACATGAGCTGATTTGATGTTTTTTTTCCCCCATGAGACAGAAAAATGTGTAAATGTGTTTGCAGTTTTGCACAAATTGTTAGAGGAATTGTAATGATTTTTTAAAAATTCCATATCAGCTAGAGATGATGGTTAATCAAAAACGCTATTAATAGGGTTGGTAGCCACTAATGTGACACATTTTTGTTATAAGCATTACAATTCCAGTTGATGGCATGCAGAAAATGGCCCTTTTGCACACCGACACCACAACAAGATGCAAGACAAAGCTATTTAGTCACAGAGTATTTTTTTAGTACATATGCATGCTGTGTTTAGGATATTCTGCAATAATGGCAAGTTTTAGGGTTACAGATTTAAGAGTTAGAGGTGAGGCAGGGTTAAACTGTATGGCAACAGTGACCCGGATATCCTGACAAGGCAAAGTGGAACAGGACACAATGCCAGCTGTCATCAACCACAGGCATAACCAGCAGAGTTGTTGAAGGCAAACATAACACTCCTCAATAGATTGGCTTATTTGCAGCGCAGCAGTAGCAACAAAGTGGCACAGATAGCTTGCTAAATTCTCTGACAAACAAGGGTGAGATGAGGACAGGAGCTGTGCGTATATATATGCAAAACCTGATTTAATGGTTGCTTTCTTTGCAACTGCTTTGCTGATAATCTCGACATTATCTCAAGGGGAAAAGAATGGCAGAAGGACAATCTGTGCCTTTTAAAAAGTACACAGCAAAGACATCTGGCCATCATGTTTGGCTGTCAGTATCCTCTTTCTCCTCCCTCTCTAAAGGATAAACCAGGTCAAGGTCTTTCTTCAACATGCCAGTCTTAAAATAGCTTGGTGTCATGCCTTCTCTACATGAACGCGCCTCGGGATATGAATTGTTGCAAAGCAAGAAAAAAAAGAAGAAAAAAAAGCAACATCAGGGAGAGAGCGATAATAATGGGAAGACTCACAGTTACACATATAATATAGTACGTGGAGCCTGACTAATCACGGATACTTTACATTCTTTACTTACAGTATGTGTGAGCATGTGTTTTGGCGTGGCAGAGGTTGGGGAAAAGAACAACCAGCACACCAGACAAAGTCAGAGGAGCAGGGACACAGTGCAAGAAAGACAAGATAGAAGAAAATAAAATAAAAAAAAATCAGCGAGAGCTGATGTTTAATCACATCACAAGATGTCCCAGTCCTCTTTGAGGGGATTCCCAAGGCTCTTTTACAGCATCATCAGCAGACTTAAAGAGCACATCAAGTCTAGCAAGCATGTACTCACTCTCTCTCTGCTCCACCAGACAAGCCATTAGCACATTAGCTGCACTGTCCTTTCACTTGACAAAGACTGCTCATACCACGATGTTATGCCATTTTTGTCTTAATGCAGCTTATGGGCATAAAAAACCTGATCATGTTTTAAGGGCTTTTCCCACAGAGCATTACACAAATACAAAAGGAGGTAGCTATAAATTTTAGCACTTTCAACCATGCAGTCATAACAGTTCACCTAAACAAGTCAAGTCAAAGTGAGGCCAGGATTTCCCTATGTAATATCCTCACATATCTCTGATAGAGACAGCCGTTTAATCCAGAGAATAGCTAATAATCTTTATGACATACAATCTTAACTCTTGCCCTGAGCCTGGACTATTAAACACACCAGCTGTTTACTGTTATGAGTCAAGTTGAGCAGGGACATTCAAGTTATGACTGTTTACGTTAACATACATTCGCATGTATACACAGGGGTGCACACAGAATCATCTTTACTGCTCGTCAAAAGGCCTCATGTGGGCAGGTAATGAAATACAGTGTAAAATGAGATGGAAACATGAAAAACTAGAAGAGCAAAAGGGAACTCAGTGAAACTCGACTGAAGTTAACTGAAGAGACATATGACGAATCACAAGGGGAGATGGAGCAGAGTCATGCTTGTGCAAAACTGTCCATTTGAGCTGCCTTTAGTGTTGTGAGGTCGTTCTGTTTGTCTGTCATAATGTAATCAGTCCGTTTAAAGACGCAGAGAGAGCAAATGCAGAGCCGAACCAGCCTGCCAGAGAGGGGTGGGGAGAAACAGCAGCTTTTACCGTAAGCCATGAGTCACTTCAGCCCACAGAACTGGATGTCTGCCATGCTAGTTCTCTCCTTCTTTCTTTTATTCCTTCTCACTTGGTCTTTCTATCTATGCCAGGTCAGGCCCACTGAGGCAGCCAGCTAGCTTGCTAGCTAGTGCAGTGTTGCTCCGCCTACAAAAGCAGGAAATACTGAAGGGATGGTCAGGAAAGCTCAACAAAGAGTAGGAGGAAGATGATAATGGAGGAGGTGGTGGAGGCGGAGGCGGAGACAGAGACGTGGACAGGATAAACATCTTATCACCATGGAGATAAGGCTGCACTCAAACAGCAGACGACACATTTATGAGAAAGTTTGTGCTGCTCCTCAGGCATTGAAAAGTGTCCACTGCCCCTAAAGTGTCACCAAAGAGCACCTTTTTAGGAAATAACTGTTCCCTGCCGCCACTTAAAAACACATAAGAACCTGATTTACTGCCAAACGTAAAACCACAGGAAGGAGAGTACACAGACACACAAAGATAGCCAGCTGTGTTTACTTGCCATCCTTTACCCCAGTATTCCTGCATCCACATCCCAAATTCCCAGACAGGCTGAATGAAAATAAACAATAGCCAGCGGCACCTGTGCATTTGCACAGCCTTGCAGGTACACCGCATGATTACAAGCACAGTGCCTTACAAAAACAGGAGTGGATACAGCCATTGCTTTTTAAGAATGCCAGAACTCTTTGGCACAGCTGAGATAAGTCAAACAGATATTAGTGGAGATGTTTGAAGAACCGACACTGTTGTTGTTCTGGCATGACATACTTTTTGACTAAGTAGCTGTAGCCAGCCAAAGTTAATATTATTGGAGTAGTGATCTACATGTTGCAACTAAAACTGCAGACTTGACAGCGACTGATGGGATACACTCAAATTTGCTCGAGTACAGACTGAACCAAGGGTTTACATCCTGCAGCAATGAGTACCTGCACTCTCTAATTGTATTAAGTAACGTCAACTTTATTTTGTCTTGTTTGATTAAATTTTAGTGGAGCAGACAGTGAGCGCAAGAAAGTGTTGGCCATGCAGAAGCCTGATTAAAATGTGTAGCATCTTACTATAATACACAATCTGTATGTGTGTTTGTTTCCTTGTCCATTTACTCCTCTTACAAGCCCAGGATGAGGGGGCACACAGGTACATTTTAGGTCCCTGAAGGTTCTTAACTATATCAGGTCTTATGACCATGTCATGTTGCCAAGCAACAACCTGGCAACAGGGCTAAAATCACCTGTTTTTAACATTTGTGCACCTATAAAAAGCATCATCCAATTTTATTTCACGATATCTAATTTGTATCCACAAAACATGTATTATATATGACATGTTATGATGCCATCAGGTTACCTGGCAACCACCTAGCAATGGGCTAAAATGAAGAAGCATTGCTGCTCCCACAACACATTATAAAAGCAGCGTATCATTTTTATCCCATCACAAGCAGGTCAAACAATATTATAGGAAGTGCATCATCTATATGTTAACATAATGTAACTCCACTGAAGTTCACTTCTCATTCTCAATTTATATCCACTTCATGTGGATAAGCTGAATGTATCATCAGTAAAACAAGTAATTCCAAATAACCTCTAACGATTTATGTAACTAAACATCACAAGATTTTTTTTAGAAAACATTAAATGCACTTCTTCAAACTTGCACAAAGAAATTGACTTGCCAACAGACCTGTGGGCAAGCTGGATGCAGTGGAAGAGGAGCAGGAAAGAGAGGCGTGTATGGCTACTGTTGCTGCTGCAGGTTCACTAGTGGTGGGACGTCCCGTGGTGATGAGAGGCAGCGTCCCCAAGGGAAGAGGCTGGCCCCGCTTTAACAGCTGCTTGTGCTCCTGCTGACGAAAGCGTGGGGGCACCTCTCTGGGCGGGTAGCGCTGCTGGAGCGGAGTCTGGGACTGCTGTGCTGTCTGCGGCTGACCTCCGGAGGGGATGCGCTTGCCATTTCCACTGCTTGGGGGTACAGATGGGATGGCACTGGGGTTGACGGGGGGAAGAGGAGGGCTGGGGTTGAGCTTGGTAGAGTCTGGCACTGATGAAATGGGTAGGGATAAGTAACAACAAGAAAACAGAAATGCAGGGATGAGGAAGGGTAAAGCAGAGCTGTTGAGCACACACTAGTACTAAAATACTATATGATTAGTTGCAAATGGACTGGTCCATATTCCAAATAAATAAATAAATAAAATCACTTGCTAGAGACTGTTTTATTTGACTTATAATGATATTTGACACATAACACATTTAAAGAAAACTAAAAGGAACTGCTGGATACTGCCCTCTTCCTCCATAAATTACTGTCAGTAATTCATTTTAAATGTTTTCTGTAAAGCTACTGTGGTTAAGCATTTCCTTCACTGACTCTTTTCAAAGCCCTGGATACTTTTGGAAGATTTCCATGAAGTTAAATTCAGAAAGACTAAAGGAGCAGAAATCTATAAATGCACAAGATTTACTCAAGGCAGTGGTCAGTCCAAACAGATGGTTGTTCTTTGGAGAACCACAGGACTGTAATAACCTCGGGGTGGCACTATAAAAGAAAAAATGATGACTTTAGAGATGGCCAAGACACCCAACTCTCTCACAGCCTGTCATGGTGCCGGTTCACAGATTATATGTGTTGAAGAGGTCAAGTACCAGAAAATGGACTTAGACCTGCCTGCTACATTATTGTGGGCTATTGTCTCCATCAGGACGGTGCTGTAAAGAGCGCTGAGCACCATCAACATAAGCTGTTCATGGTTTGTGGCAGGTTATGGCCCCTGAAATGATCACCTCTCAGCGCTCTACAAAAGCTGTTAGTTATTAACTGCTTGCACGGCTGCTGAAGCCAAGTGCTCTTATCCAACTAGCTTTAGTTACCCTTAGCAACAGAGTGCGAGGCTCTCTCTGCTCTGACCAGCCATTTCTCATGGTCGAAGCCCTGCAGGGTTTCACATGAGCAGCGAAGCCTAAGAACTGCACACAATTTAAAAAAACCTCCAATAACATTTATTCATGGATTCGTATTTTTATTTTTTTCAATTGAGGGACATTAGGAGTTGGGAACAAAACATTGGTATATCATCGCTATAAAACTGGTGTGTTACAAAAGAAAATTAAACTCCAATAGTCACTCTTCATCCCCAGAGGAAAATATCTAGCCTCTCTGCAGCTTAAATGCATCATCATATCTACCATCTTGGTGTCAACTGTTGCATGCAGCTACCAGGCTAATGTGTACTTGAGACGTTTTATTGGGGAAAAAAATACCACTAAGGTTCGTGAGAGCATCTACTATGTATTTAAAAAATTAATTAATTAAAAAAATGCAACCACTGTGAAGCCTCCAGTTTAGTTTTACGCTGTCACAATCTTCATTTCATAGAGACAGAAGAGTGAAGGGCCAAGTTAAGGTGGGTGGGTGCAACGCATATATGATGCTTGCCAATTAGTGAGAAGTAACAGACTAACAAATTACCAGAATTTCACAAAACTGGAGTGCAAACTCACTGGATTGGTTGCATCTTATAGAGAGTCGTGTTACCGGTGAAATCATTTGATTAAAATGCTGCAAAAACCCCCAGCACTACAAACATGGTCAAGAAGTGACTTGAACTACTGGTAAAGGGTCTAAAACTACAATCAACTACAGCTCCAGATATCGTCACACCTGTCAAAGAGGCGATTTGCTCTCATCTTTAAGCGTTCACAAAACACAAACAATTAGTTAAAATATTTTTTCTCATTATAGATTTTATAAAGGGAGAAATTAGCTACAGTGACCAAAACTGTGTTTTTGCCACATGCAGGTTTTAGTACTTTTTGGGTAAGACAAAAAAAAAGAAAAAGAAAAAGAAAAAAGAAGTGAAGATGTAAAGCTTAATAATGAGTGATGCATCCCTTGTTTGTTCATCACTACATAATCACACCTCTCTAAAATATATACACTGAAATAAGAGTTGTTGCTATAAAAAACACGGCTGCTATAACTGACAAGTTCCACTTGTCAAACATCAGAGCCGTGAAGTCCAAAACACCCCCAGGATGCTAATTTACAGTCGCTGAATTTGGAAATAGGCGGTCGGAAGCCACCACTAAATCAAACATGTTGGTCAGCTTGGGGTCACAAAGCTGCTCCAGAATGAGATGGATCATGAGACACAAAGCGCACTGGATAATCTCCTCAGCACATTTTATTACATAATAAAATAAGCTGGTAAACTAGAATGCAAACAGGATGCAAAAAAAAAAAAAAAAAAAAAATAGTGCTTAAGAGCTACACATACTGTACAAGAGCAGACCCCCAAACACCAGCTGACTGGACATAATGTGCACTGAGCCACAATGGCATTTGAGCTCTTGCTGCGGGGGAAGGGGGTCTTTAAAAACCACCAACCAGAAGAAAAAGAAAATCTTTGTGCTGCAGCCTAACTGTATTATAAAGAGTGGGGCCTTGCGATTGGCTGACAAAATGAGTGTGTGCAAGGCAGCAGTGAATAACTTGCACACATGCGGCTAGTCCGGCATCACACACAAAAACAAAGAGTTATGTAATACTGAGGCCCACACAGAGGGGAGAGGGCGAGATGGTGTCGTGGAAGCACACTCAGCCTTGTAAATACTCAGACATGTTCGCTCACACGTCACAAACGGCAACATTTTTCTGTGCACGTTTGTTTGTATATGTGTGTGTCTGGGTGTGTGTGTGTGCGACATAGTATGATCCAGTTTCACCCAAATCTGTCTGAGTGTCTCCCTCTCCCTGCAGCTCAGCAATGTTGCGGGTGGAGGGCGGGGGGGACGCTCTAGTGCTGGAGCTCGCCTCTCATCAGATCTCTCTACATCTGCTCCATTTCCTCTTCATTCTTTATCCCTCCCCACCTTCCTGTGCTCCCCTCTCCCTTTCTCCTTCACTCCCAGTGATCTACCATTATCCTCTTGTCATTATTACTGTATTAAAGGCGGCAGATGGACACGATAATTCCTGCCCAATTCTACCCGCTGAGTTTAAGAGGTGATTTCCTCTTAAAAAAAAACTGAAGACTGTTGTAGGTTATGCCACAATGTGCAATCATAGTTATGAACATGAGCGTTACACAGTTGGGACTCCATGATGTGACGTAGATTCTTCTGGAAGCTGAAGAGGGGGGGAGAGCTGGCTGCTCTTTTAGCCAATCAGAGGGAAGAAACAAGGAGGGGACAGGGGAGTGAGGGAGAGCGAGCGAGCGAACGAGAGAATCGACATTCGGGAGGAAGGGAAGGAGGCAGGGGGCGAGGATAAGTGATGAAGAGTGTAGTGTGTGTAAGAAAGTCTCCACCCCCTTGTGCACTCCTCTGTTAGCTCGAGACTCACTGCCCGAAATCAACTTGGGTCCAAATCCGCTTACAACTGGATCACCATTTGCCGGTGCTGCTTTGGTTTCTTCAGATTGCATGAGCGACACAAGTCCTCCAAATTCAGTTATCCTGATAAACTGATGATTTAATTGAGAATAAAAGGATATTTTTACATTAAAATTCAGAGACTGATCAAGGCAGGGCTTAATAAATGTTTCTGGCAGGTGTGGTGTACAGTGCTTGTATCTCAGGCAGTACTTAGCAGCGAAACAGTGAAATAGAGTAAGAAGAGACGAGACCGACTCCTGCTGACAGCCTGTTTGCAATAACAGAGTCCTCAGCTGTGCCACTGCACAGGAGAATTCCCACTTCATCAAAGATGCACATCAAGCCTTGGCCTTGGGGCTGTGTGTGCTTCATGCAGAGGAAGCCATCCCATTTTCTATTTTAAAAGGGGTCTTAATTTCCTCAGAAACAATGATAGTATGCTTGCCTGGCTGTTTAAGAGCAAGAGGTTGTGGGGTGCCTGGTTAGGATTGTCTGGGGATATATTAAAGGAGTTGGAAGAAGGTGGAGGAGAAAGAGTGAAAAGCATTGGCAATCTCTCTGAGTGGAAGAAAAAAAAAAAAGGTCTGTGACCTTGCAGACAAAGGATACTTCTGTGCAGGTGCTTGGATAGCAATGTGCAGAAGAACTGAAGACTAGCGAATGCAAGTACTCATCACAAGGTAAGTTAGTTTTAAAACTGTCCTAACAACAATACGTGTATTGTTATATTGTTTTCAAATTATGTTCCTCTGAGTCGCAAACCAATTTTCAAAAATAATACTATATTAACAGTACTGTGCCGCCTGTACAATATTTACAAGTATATATTAAATACTATCAGTATTCTCCTCCCCTATATGTATAATAATAGCATGCTAATAATCATGCTCACTGCTGTTCCTTCATTGAAGTGGTTCGTCTCGCTCTTGGACAGAGTACATACTGAAATGCAAGCCTTCTATAACTGAGCCTTTAATCCCACAAGTTAGGCCATGAATGGAGCTTTATAAACTAGCTAAAGAAAATCTCGCTGCTGTAAACAGGATTGCTGTTTGCTTATTGTCCAGTATGTTACATGTGTTAAATCTAACAGCCAGGCCTTTTCGTGAATAAGAGTGAAATCCTGTGTGATGCCTTTGCATCGTTTGCCTCCAAACTGTCGCAGCACACCACTTTAATGGAACTGAAATAGAAGGAAACACACACGCTGCCTAATTCTAGAAAAAAGTAGCAGAAAGAATGAATCGTGAATGGCAGCATGTCTTTGAGGCTCTCCGTCTCATTTTTCCTGTGGGCTTTAAAATGTGAGCAGCGAGCCTCACAAGAGAGAAGATTACAGGGTTTAATTAGAAGTGAATAAATACGACACGGTAGTTAAGAGGGAAACCCGTCACTGCATTACATTCCACACGGAGAAAAATGCTGTTTAAAAAAATAATAATAATACGATTTTTAAAAAATATTTAATATCTGACAGCACAGTGCAGAGAACGCAAGGTTGTGAAGGTCAAAGCGTTAATCAAACGGTAACTATGGGTCTGAATATATAATCTCAGGATCGACATTCACTTCCAGCTCTTAAGTGTTTCTATCCAGACCTACTCTCCACCTGCAGAAGAGCTCCACAGGTTGAAGTAGGGGGGGGATCTCAGAAGACAAAACAGCTCTTGTGCCAGCAGCTGCAGGCAGCCCAGATTCCAGCGTGTTATGATTTACAGGAACCGAAGTGTGAAAGACAGTGGAACATCCTGTCCTCCTGACCTGGGCAGCCCCTGCTGAGCCTGAAAAATGGTTCGGTCTCAAATATCAGCGTCAAACTGAAACTGCAACAAAGAAATGCCACTTGGCACTTATGTTACAAGTATCTGTTTCA